TGTTGTTGTTGTTGTTGTTGTTGTTGTTGTTGTTGTTGTTGTTGTTGTTGTTGTTGTTGTTGTTGTTGTTGTTGTTGTTGTTGTTGTTGTTGTTGTTGTTGTTGTTGTTGTTGTTGTTGTTGTTGTTGTTGTTGTTGTTGTTGTTGATTTGTTTTTAGAGTCCAGTCCCCGATTTATCGTAACCAATGGAGAATTAAGTTATGTGTCAAACTTAAATGTACATGCAATGGGCTAATGGCTGTCACTTGCTATACACATTATCATTAAGAATATTCATTTAATTAATTTAACCATTGGGCATTCCATTAGTCCCATAAATTTTTCTGTTTGATACTTTGATATTTTTTGACCTATTGTGCTGAAAGACAAACACACACACATAGACATACACGTACAAACGCGTATAAAACCTTCATGACCACCTGTCGGAGACAATAGTGTTAGGCCTGTTTTATACGTCGAATTTTGGTCGCGTCGAACGCAATTAAGACAATAGATAATGAGATGAAAAACTTCATTAAGCTTCATTATGTATTGTTTGAATTTCATTCGACGCGACCGATTTCGACGTATAGAACGGGCTTTTAACTATGTACATTGTACAATCATCAATCACAACAATTAAGGTTAGAATTATCAACGGAAAGAAGTTTTACCAACACACATTATGTGATAGCTATTTGATTATAATTACATAGAATGAATTGGAAATGAAAATGGAAACTTGCATTCATTTAATTTGATTTAGATGAAAGATCGAGTTTGGAAATGTAATAAGGTATTTTTTATTTTGTTGTAGGGAATCAGAACCTATTCTAGATTGTAACGTTGAAATTGCTACTGCCACACTAGAAAATGAAGAGTCTAACCAACAAGGCAACCAGATTAGACAAAACGAGATTGACAATTCAAACGTCTACCCATTACTGGATGACCGCTCTCTTCACGATGACCTGCAAAATCTTCCTGTAACCAGGTAATGAAAGTCTTATACACCGTCTGAATTACATTTCTTCCTCCAGGAAACAGGTTGGACTTTCGTTTACACATGCGCCAGAAACCGCGTAAGCGTGGAGTGCACGTGAGCGCGGGTTAATCGTGTGACTGAATTCTTAAAACAAACACCAAATTTGCCAAAACTACTCGTGTTATGAAGTTGTTTTCTTGATCCTTTAATATTTCTACGCTCACAATTTTAGGCATTTTCAACTTAGAAGTGTTTGCTTTGGAATAAGAACGTGAAAGTAGAAAAAAACCTCAACCTCGTACCCAGGGTTTTCCCTCTTGAGGAGCGAAGACCCAGGTAGACGCTGGACACGTGATCTGCTAAAATCTAGCAGATTTCTAATTAACTGTATTAGTTTTCTTTACGACAATTATACAAAATGCAAATTATAAATTAAACTATCAAAATAATCCAAATATCAAATGTTTATTTTTAAAAAAATCTAAAAATCTGCTAGATTTTAGCAGATCACGTGACCAGCGTCTACCAGGGTCTTTCATTTCGCCGTACAAATATACCTGTTTTATATGTATATCTTTTACGAAGTAAGATTACAAGTGCAGCTTGACCTTATTTAAATTCGTACCTGCCCTATTTTTGACTCTATAAAAACTACTTTTATCCATGAAGAAACTATTTGACTTTAAAAATAATCTGGAATTATGGTGGTGATATAGGCTAATTTCTTTGCAAATAGTGCCAAATGTCTAATGTACTTAGTTTCCTAATTCACATATATGTAGAAGCATTCCTTCGCTCTGTATTTATTATTTTTAAATATAATACAATTTATTTATGTCTTTCAGAGTTCTAAAAATCAGAAGAGTAAATATCATGCAAGACATGATTGAGAATTTTAAAGAGAAATCGATTATGCAGATCCACGTCAAAGTCGTTATGATTAATTCGTTCGGAAAAGAAGAGTTGGGCGTTGATGATGGCGGTGTCTTTCGTGACGCTCTTTCTGCCTTTTGGAGTTCGTTTTACGATTCATGCATGGTTGGAGAGGAAGAAAGAGTGCCCGTAGTCAGACATGATTTTAAAGAAGAAGAATGGGAGGCGATAGCGCTAATTCTAGTCAAGGGTTAAAGCGAACTCAAGTTTTTTCCAGTAAAACTAAATAAAGTTTTTATGTTTTCAACCCTGTTTGAAAGTGAAAAAATACCAGATGAACTGTTGATGGAATCATTTTTAGGGTACGTGTCCAAAGATGAGCGAGAGCTAATCAATACAGCTATAAAAGATGATGATTTAAATGACAGCCAGGAAAAAGAGTGGCTTGATTTTCTGGAAAGGTTTGACTGCAGAACAATCCCTAAAAAAGAGGATCGTCAAACAATAATCCTAGAATTCGCACATAAAGAAATGGTCCAGATTGCGCAGTTTATCATTGATAGTTGGAGAAAGCCATTTAAAGAAAATCTTGCGAATCGCGATGCATTTTCTTCGATGGAGTCTTTGGAGGAGATTTACCAAAATGCAAGACCAAGAGTGAAAAGAGTTTTAAAGCTAATACGTTCTGAACCGACAAGTAATTCGCAGCGCGCTGTACTTTCGGTTTTGAAGCGGTACATACGAGGGCTTGATGACGAAAAGCTAACAATGTTCCTGCGTTATTGCACTGCCTCGACAATGATTTGCGTTGAATCAATAAAAGTAGTATTTACTGACCTTGATGGTGCAGCAAGACGTCCTATCGCCCACACCTGCGGATCAGTTCTGAAACTCCCAACTACGTATCAATCTTTTCCGCAGTTCCGGCAAGAAATGAACAACATATTCAGCAGTCAATACTGGGACATAGATATCGCATAACAAATTGTTGTGTTATAGTGATTAACTGCAACTGCATGTTGTTAACTGTTGTCGTTTTTATAAAAATTAAGATTTTAAAGCATTTAACATTCTGATGAATAGTATCTGCCGCAGAACGGATTAACAGATTAAGTAAAAGTAGAAGCGTTTTAAAACTACGTTTTGAACCGATTTAAAAAAAAATGACCGTCAAATACACTACATTGTTACTGTTTTATATCGTGGACTAAAATAAACATTTTTTAACCGAGGCTGCTTAATGACCAAATTGTAAAATTTCAAGGTTGAAAAAAACATATAAACGAAATTGTCGACCAATGAGATACCAATGAAACAGGCGCCAAAACGAGGCTAGTGAGTGTTTTTTACTTAATCTTGAAATTCAGTATTTCAATGATTTAAATATTATATTTAGTATTCACGAAAGCAGTGTATGTAAAAATGTATGTCTTTTTGGACAAAAAAGGCAAAGAACCATTTTTTAAATCAGTTTTTAAACCCTGTAAATAACTTGTTGTGTTCTTGTTATTGCCGTGTTTACACTATACGCTAACCATGATTTTGGTCTAATTTGGCTGTACTACTGTATAGTGAGTGATTCAATCATTGAGCATTTGCCTGACCAATTGCCTGAGTTGGCGAGTACTGTAGCATATTCGCTTTAGTCGTGTAACTATTAATGGATTATTAAATAAATCTATATATTTACAATGTGATACTTATTTATCTGAACATGCATGCGCTCATCTTAGTGAGTGTGTATATGATAACGTAGATTTTTTCCTGAACTACATAATTTCTCTTTTATACATTGACAATTTCGTATGTAAATCTTTTTATTCATCGTTCTTGGTTTCCTCGATCAACCTAAGGAGAGTAATGTAAAGGCTTTTCCCCTCATTTGCATTAGTAGGCATTTGTAATCCTTCATCTTCCATGATCATTTCAGCAAGGGCATTGAATTCGTCAGAGCATCCTCGAGGCGAAGGTTGAGTGCAGCACATTTCCTCGGCTATTTCTCTTTCATCTATATCTACAGGTATCAGGTAGTCCTGGCTGCCAAGTGTCTCAGGATTGAAATAGAGAACATCGGGACGACCTGGAGGGGATTCTGCATTATTTGAAGGTCGGATTCAGTGAGTATTCCAGTTCCTTGGCACTTTATGTAATTCAATTTGTATTATTTCCATAAAACAGAATTTAATGCATTCTCTTTGAATTACGTCATCATCATCAAACAAACCAACGTCTCATAAATCCTTGAAAAAACGTATCCACCAATCAGTACATCCCTTTCGCAGCAATCCCCACCACGCCTCTATTCGTTGGTTAGATGTTGACCGTCCGTACATAAAGCTTTTATCTCGTGCAAAATCGTCCTCTGATGATCTGCGAAAAAACCGTTGCATTGTCTCTACATTTACATTTTCTGTGCCCCTATCCGCCCGAATTATACGTGACGTGCCCCCTATAGTATTCACATAGTCGGTATAATATTTTCCTACTATTTCCGGGTCATTGTTTGATGATGAAACTTCTAGCCATAGGACACGGCGGCTGTAACCGTCGATGGCACCGTGAATGCAAAATCCAAATGGTTTGAGTTTATCATATCCATCTATGTGCCAAAGATAGTTCGGACCTTTTGCACTATATAACCTTCTCCTCAATCGGTGTCTTGATCGGGATTCGACTCCATCTGGATCCAAAATTTTCAATACTAGTCGAACTGTTTTCCTGGTCACTACTAACTCATATTCATTTGTTAGACGTTGGTGCATCGATCGATACCCAATAACACTACCGCTACCCTTCAGTTCGTTTTCTATTGCACAGACGACATCTTCAAGATTGTCTTGGTCGTTTCGCCTTTTACATTTTCTTCTTCTCAAAATCCTCTTTAGTTGCCGTAGACTCAGACGAATGCCATGAAAGTTCACAATGAATCCTAAAATTTCTGCATTGCTCAATCCAAGATGAAAATACTTTTCGATAATTTCATCACGGCTTAACCCGTCCGCTTGAATTGCTGGGCTATAATTTGGCATAACTGCTGTAGCTGAACATATTAAGGCAAAGAAAACAAGATAGACAAACGCCATACTTCTTACTCTGAGCTAAAGATTTTGAATTTATGTACCCGGAAACAACACATGACATAACCGCTACTGTACTTGCGTTTTTCACGTGACTAACCGGAAGTCGTAAGTCGCAACGTAAGTCACAACCTAAGTCGCAACCTCAGTCGCAACGTAAGTCGCAACCCAAGGCGCAACCTAAGTCGCAACCTAAGTAGCAAGTCGCAACGTAAGTCGCAACGTACAAAATAAGAGGAACAATAAAATAGTAGAGAGACTATGTCCCTTCTGAGCCACCGTACATTTGTCAAATATTGGTGGATTAACATGCATGATATATTAATTTTTTTAATTATTTAAAATGTTGATAATAGTAGCACAAATTAAGATATGGAGTGGCAGTTGTTTCAAGCATATATGTTTCAACTATGTGAGCTAGTACAACATGATCATGATTTACTATATACTGCATCAGTGAATCATCATTATTAATTATCATGATCAGTTAATGGCCATACATTTATTGTACCAAATAGAATATAACATCTTTTTCAATGCTAGTGCCTCATTTATTTTTATAACTTATAAATGTTACTAATAGTTGAAAACTTAAATCAGATCACATCACAATATTGTAGAAAAGGCAAACTAAACACCAAGTTTTAAGCAATAAAATTTGACAAACAGAGGTCAGTTTAACAAGGGAAAGGGGGTTCATCTAAGTAAGCCTTGATTCGGAATATTAACGGGGCTGAACTCAAACAAGGAGGAGGGTTGACGTACTGGCCTTAATAAGCTAAATATATGCTATATTAAATATTATAGTTAAAATATATCTAGACATACGAGGACAAAGTCAAATAATGTCAAATCAGAGCAGTGAAATGAATTCCAGTGGTTAAAAGTCTGCAAAACAAAGGAGTCAAAAGAGATCTGAGAAACACTGTAAAAGAAAACATAACCAACTAGATATGAAGTAAGTCTACAAACCTTTTTTTAAGAGCCCAAATACAACATTCATTGTCGATTCAGCTGTTAAATAAAGACTTTTTGGTGGAGAAATAAAAGACATTTTGTTGTCTTGTCGAATTTTTTGGCTCAAAACAAACGTCGTATTTCCAAACATTTTAAGCTTTAATCGTGGCATATCTTTCACAAAACGCAGCATATACTCCACATATCCCATTATAGTGTTCTATTTTGTCCCATTGATACTAAAAATATATGTTTCTGGTGCTTTTTTTCAGTAACAAAAGCTTGCAGTTTGTTGTCAAAATTTTTTTTGTTCTGACTTCGCGGCTTCGAAGATAAATATGGCTACGTGATTGGTCAATTTTCCCGCCAAAGAACATCTAGCCTGCATTTGCGGGCGGTAGACGATTAGGGTGATGAGAGATTTGGATAATGAGTATTAGTATAATTACATGGGTGATCATTGAAAATTCTCCACGCTGATTGGTTGCCGTTGAGGTGATTATTACGCGATAATCACCTAAGCGATTTTCAAAATGGCGGCCGAAGCCTTTTCGTCAATTAAATGACGAAGAAATGAGTATTTTCTTATTTTTTCCAAATAATCACCTATGAAATTATACTAAAACAATTATTCACCTCAGGCTCGGTGATTATCGTGAATAAAAACCTCGACTTCGTCTCGGTTTTTATTCACCGATAATCACCTCGCCTTCGGCGAATAATTGTTAGATATGGTGGTTGTACTATATTCACTTGTTTGTATAGATGTGTGCGACAATCTTCACATTTTTTTCTTGCGTTGGTAACTATAGCAATTGCAATATTAATGGCAAAATTGAAAAAAAAAACTCTACGGTTTTTGCCGTCTTGAACGTCCATGCACTTTTTGCCCCAATTAAGCTTAATATTCCTAGTATCAAGCAAGTATGCTTGCAAAAAAGTTTTGACTATTTCATTTAAACTGCACAGGTGGTTAAAATCAACTCTTCATGATTGAATAAATGTTTTTTAAGATTGCTTTGTTTCACTGTTTCAGCAGATATATGAATTCAAGTCCCCCCTGTGACACCCTAGCTGGGGTATCAGATATAGGTCAGTATCATACTGTGTTTTCAAAGTATATTTGAATTGTGGTAAAAAAAGAGAGAAACTAGCAGATAATGAACGAATTAAAGACAAGTTTACGCGTCAGTTTTAACGACAAACTTTCGAAAACACAAAGTATATGCAATACATTTACGGTATATGCGAATTTGATGTAAATTTAGTATCAAATTTGCTACATATACTTCAATATGCCAAGGTGTATGCCAATGTATTGCCAATTTGGTATCTAATATTATTACGCTACATTATAATACTCTCATCATACTGATTCATTTTGTATGGTATTATAGACATGTACAGCACAAGTCCCCAGTCATTATCGAGACGTCTAGATAATTATCTGTAGACATCACGCCCACTGTCTTTGCATTGACATTGTAGATAGCTACTTGGATGATTCATATATATATATATATATATATATATATATATATATATATATATATATATATATATATATATATATATATATATATATATATATATATATATATATATATATAATACGCAGGAATCAGTTGGCTGATTTTTAAAACCTTGAAAGTATATATGCATGTTAGTTAGATCATTTGGATAAATGTATAGAAGAATTGGAAAATACAATTTTCTCGAATACATCTGCAGCACGGACATATGCATTCACCTTACACTAATAGTACTCTACAGGGTGTATAAAAAAAACCTGAACAGATTTGAAATTGCTCTCAATCTCACAAAACACCTATTTGTATCCGGTTTGTATATATATATATATATATATATATATATATATATATATATATATATATATATATATATATATATATATATATATATATATATATATATATATATATATATATATATATATATTTTAGGTACTTATAATGTAAAATAATGAAAAAAATTCTGGAACTCAAATTTTGTGAACCAGGGGGGGGGTGTCTTTTCTAACAAATTAAAATTGGCTCGCACACAAAATTTAAAAGCTGTAATCATATTTTGAGTTAAAAGATGGAAAATTTGTCGGGTCTTTAATTGCTGGACAAAATTTCAGAAAATTTGGTTTAGTTTAAGCCCGTTAACTATTCACGCAAAGTTACATTTTTCCTAAAAATCAGCTATTTGCATGCTTAATTAATGCCTTTGCCTAATTTGCATATGTCAGCGTATTGCTGACATATGCAAATTAGGCAAAGGCATTAATTAAGCATGCAAATAGCTGATATTTTAGAATAAAATGAACAGTTAAAGGGCTTAAACTGAACCAAATTTTCTGAAATTTTGTACAGTGATTAAAAACCCAACAAGTTTGCGATCTATTAACTCAAAATATGATTATAATTTTTAAATTTTGTGCGCAGGCCATTTTTATTTTGTTGGAAAAGACACCCCCCCTGGTTCACAAAATTTGAGTTCGAGAATTTTTTTTCATTATTCTACATTATAAGTACCCAAGGAAGCTATATGTATAAAAAACCGGATACAAATAATGTTTTGCGAAATTGAGTGCAATTTCAAATCTGTTCAGTTTTTTTTATACACTCTGTATATATAATTGTCTTATGCACACAGTCACGCTGACTCACGCACATTTTCATGTATTATTTTGAGTTGCAATGCTGTTTACTCACGCATAATTGCTTGCTTCGGCGCTATATACATGTTGCTGTTTCAAAACATATAGCAGCATTGCAATTGAAATAGCTATATGTCTATTAATGCATTAACTGACATCCAATATTTGCATACATATTTTCCCATTGTGCAAAGTTGATGTGAATATGCTATTATATTTGCTACTAATAATTCAGTGTGCGAATTCATATGCCAATTTATTGCAATTATATTCCAGGATAATCAAAATGACGTTCCAAAACAATTCGTAATATATACGGTTGCATTACGCACTTTCCATAGGACAGCGGATCTCTTAGCCTTGCTTTTAAGTACAATCAAAGTTGCATGTTAGTGCAGTATATCGGGGGAGTAAGGCTTAACTTCGTCCTTGAATCCGCTGCAATGGTGACAATGCTACATGAATTTGAACAAAAGGTTAATAGCCGGAATTCATACTACAACAGCATCAATTCAATCCTAACATCGACGATTGAATAATCAGTTTCTGTGCTTCCAAAAAAATATATATCGGCAGTGTTTTACCAAAACAATTACCATCACAACTCGCCTCTATACTCGAAAAGTCCTCAATTTAAAGTTTTATGTAGAAATGAATTGTGCCGCACATGAATATCAATCAATTTCCACAAGCAATTGGATTCAGCTAAATTCATAGTATATTAAATGACCATAATATTAATATGCATATACAGTCGAACCTCTATTAAGCGGCCCTCCATTAAGCGGCCACCCTCTATTAAACGGCCACATATCGAAGTCCCGAAATTTTTGTAATACAAATACTTCAAACTATCCCTCTATTAAACAGCCACTTCTATTAAGCGGCCACGGCCACCCAAAGAGCGGTCCCCAATGATGTTTTTTGTCAATTTTCAGTAGCGTAGCCAGCCCAACGATTTTGTCCCGCTATGCAAATATTTTCGTGTTCATTGACTGTGACAACAATAAATTTCTAAAGAAATGAATAATGATAATAATTTTGAATTTGTATAGCGGGACTAAATTGTCGGGCTGGCTACGCCACTGTCAATTTTTACCTCTATTAAGCGGCCATCCTGCAGGATTTACTTTGGCGCAACACCTTGCCACGAGAGCCGCAAATAAAAGTCGAGCTAATTTGCTTTATTTGTAAAATAAGGCTTAAAAATTAAGTTTTAATACATGCCACTTTATATCTCAAAAGCTTTACACATCAAAAGCATTGACTGTGCTCAGGGTCCATTATTTGCGTACCTCTACTTAGCGGCCACCTCTATTAAGCGGCCACAAAGCCGATCCCCGAGGGTGGCCGCTTAATAGAGGTTTGACTGTATATAGCTAGGTACTTCATATACATGCGTATAATTGTCAGGGTAGAAGAGATCATAGTCTTGTCTTCCACGAAATTTGGCTGTTGCGGCAAGTAGGCCTATATAACAGGTGGGAAATTTGTCGTCGCTGACCAAAAAATCGGGGGCAGAAACAATTAAAGCTCATTGCATTTACATTCAAAACAAAGCAGAAAGTTAGCAAGAAGCTGTTTTAGCTGACGATTTTTTGCTTTCCATTTAACACTTTAAAAATTAACAGTTATTCTTCTAAAAATCGATCATGAATTCCTTGTTTTCGGATGATTCTTTTTGTAATCGAGTGATTGGAAGAAGTGAATATGGCGACGTGAACATGGGAGTAAATACCGTATACATCGAGCTGTGACTTGTTTAAAATCGTAATAAACGAAGAAAGACGTGATATGAGATTAACTTTATATGCCTCAAATTTATCGTCCTATGTTTCTTAATGTAACTTCGTCTGTCTAAGTTCAAAATACAAGCTCGCGAAATTTGACAAATTTTGAAAATATGTAAAAATAGCTTGACTTTGACTGTATTTTCTCAAATATAGCCCGTGGCCTCAATTTTAAATATAGCTAAATGAAAAGAAAAAACTTTTCGGCGTTTGTAGGTATCAAACATATCGTCAGGAAAATAGGGGCTCACAATGTTTTAGCTACGTCTTTGAGACCCAGTTGCTTCGCACGTGTTGTGGTCAAATTTTTGCCAAGAATCGAAGGCCGAAATGTGAACTTCCTTTATGAAAACCGGCTCGAGAAGGGTCTAGTTTGAAAATTTAGCTATTAATTTCGATTTCATGAGCATATTTTTGTTACACGTTAAATATTTTTGTACTTGATGAGATTCAAAATTTGTTGTATATTCAAGCCCGGCTTTAGTGTAATTTTGGTGATGGCCGGAACAGAAATAAAGATATTTTAAAAACTGGCCGTGGCCTCACGATAAAACTTTCCAAAAATGTTCTCTGTTTCATGTATTTTTATTTGATATATTAGGTATGGGCGTAAAAATAGGGGCTCATACAGTTTATGAGGTTGTAAAATGCATGACTTGCCTCTATTTTCATGTAAACATTCGAAATTTTTCGACAGCAAAGTAGCCACTGTTTCAGATCGAATACATGCGGACAGCACACCAGGGACAATGGCAGGGTACTGAAATAGAACGTCACTAAAAAACTCTGCATGATTAATTTAGATCATGTCCATTTTCAACATAAAACAGTAATTTATTTTGTACAAACATTTGGCAATATGTACACAGCAAAAAATCATTTTCTTATTTTAAGAAAAAAAAAACTTGTTTTAAGAAAATTTTCTTGAAATAAGAAAATATTTTCTTGGGAGAATAACAAGAAAATTTTCTTAATAAGAAAATTTTCTTAAGAAAATTTTTCTTATTAAGAAAATTTTCTTGAGAGAAATTCTTAAATTGAGAAAATATTTTCTCATTTTAAGAAAATATTTTCTCAAATCCAGAAATTTTTTTTCTTAATAAGAAAATTTTCTTGTTATTCTCCCAAGAAAAAAGTTTTCATGAAATAAGAAAATTTTCTTAAAATAAGAAAATAATTTCTTATTATAAGAAAATAATTTCTCAAAACAAGAAATTTTTCTTAAAAAAGAATTTTCTTATTAAGAAAATTTTCTTGTTATTGTCTCAAGAAAAAAAATTCTTGAAATAAGAAAATTTTCTTAAAATAAGAAAATAATTTCTTATTTTAAGAAAATAATTTCTCAAAACAAGAATTTTTTCTTAAAATGAATTTTCTTATTAAGAAAAAATTCTTGTTATTCTCCCAAGAAAAAAAATTCTTGAAATAAGAAAATTTTCTTAAAATAAGAAAATAATTTCTTATTTTAAGAAAATAATTTCTCAAATCAAGAAATTTTTCTTAAAAAGAATTTTCTTATTAAGAATGTGTTGTTTGGGTGTTTATATGTACAGGTACTCAGGTGAATATTGTTTTTGACGTTACTCTGAGTGTATATGCAGTTATCAGAGCATTGGACTAGTGTCCCAAAGGTTGCGGGTTCGATTCCCACCATGGTCAGGCTAACTTTTTAGCCTGCCGGGTGTGGATATACACTCAGAGTAACATACAAAACATCAAATTATTGTCAATTTATACAAGTTCTTTTTTCAGCTGCACTGTTACACAACTAGGTGTAGTTCTGATTGCACAGGAATGTGTTGTAGCAAATTTAAGTTCTCCTGAAGACCTGAAGCAGTAATTTTTCAACTCTTTCCACATGACAAGCAATATTATCTGACAAACCGTTTGTTCAAAGTCCATAGATTTCTTTATAATGCACATTAAACACTGTTCCAAACACATCATGCAAATGCCACTGAAGATCCATCATATATACATCCTTATACAGCTAGTAATCTGTAAAAGTTTACTTACATATTGAGAATGTAAGCATCACTCTAAGTATTATACGTGGTGTATACAGAAATATAAATGAATTTATTAGCGATTTTCAGCAGCCTTTCGTGCTTGTATTCGACTTTTCTGCTTTGCTTGGGGGACAACCTTAATTGAAATCTATAGCTATATACAGTGTATATACAAAATTGCAAGAACAATAGACCTGGAGACTTGCTTGCTAATCTGAATCACTCCTCAGTTACCTAAGTTAACTAGATTAAAAAGCATAGACGGATTTTGTGTGGGGGGGGGGGTGCTACCCCCCTAATGGCAAGTAGGAAAGGCAAGTAGGAAAATCCTCTGGAATTAGACAGAGTAAACAATAAAGTAGGATGCAATTCAGTTATTCAGCTATCTATACACTGAAAATATCAGATTAAATGCTGTCATTCTCCTGTAATTCCAATCCTTATTCAAGTATTAAAATGCTAACAGATCTTCAAAAACATCCGTATGTATAATATCTTATTTCATATCACTATATAGCCTTGAGTCTTGACATTTGAAAGGTCTAGCAAACTGCCAAACAATTTAGTATTGTCAAATTGTTAATATTAGTGCGTAAATTAGTATGGAATTCACAATAATAGATATGAATTTATATTTTAATCTTTCGTCCCTTGCCTGAAAGCAACATTTGCATGTTTTATATGCAAAACAAACGCGGCAAATTCAAACATTCAATGGATATTTTCACACTTCGCTCAAGTAAACAGTCATAATCACTACATTATTTCGCAATGAATCTGTTTAAATAACAAGTCAAATATACAATTATTCTTACCTGTGGTATCTGAACAACATTTT